CGGTAGGACAATTTCCTCTATAAATTGCACATTTTAGATAGTTTTCATCAATTCCGACGAAATTAGAATTAAAAACACAAAAATATTTTGCGCGCTTGGCGCGCATTTTTTAGGGCTTTTTTTTAGTTATTTAAACACATAATAGTCCCAAACTCAAGAAAGACAAATTTAAGATAGATCATTTTGGCGCACATTTTGTTGTCATCATATCTATCAGTGGTTAAAGAATGTTGATTACGTAAATGTATTTAATGTGTAACGTTTGCTTTCATGAATTTACTCGCGATTATAATGTACACATAATATTTCATTGTAATATACGTTACCATCAAAATAAATCAGAAATATATGCAATAGGAATAATTTCCATGAATGATAGCATTCCTATAGAGAGTCACTGTATGTTAGGATATATGTAAAAGAAAGTAGATATATCTGCCCATGTTTTTATTAAATGATGTTCATTACATGCTATATCATCAATAACATACGTTACCTTGTGTTTAACATACGTTACTTTTCACAACGTAGTATTCCTTTCAACTAGGCCTAAGCTATTGCATGAAATTTTCAATTTAACATTTTATTATAAAAGTATAGCCGAGACACAGCATATAATAAATACTTACCAAATTGCTTCACTTTAATAATGGACATGGACCAACATTCGAGGGAACAAAGTTGGTAAACACATTCTGGATGTCAATTGCTCAATGCCATTTTTTCTTAGAAGGTTCTAAAACTTTCATGCGTCGTTGGCGGCGTAAATAAAGTCATTTATAATAGTTTTATGCCCTCTATATTTCATTAATATGGATTAATATTCCAAAACGTAACGTAGGTTACTGTAACGTAAATTACCTTTCTAATTACAATTACTAATTAAATATGATTACTTAACACCAATGATGATTTACTGACCATATTTTGGATAGATGACTATTCTACTTTTCCGAATTAAAAGTACAGTATTCATAACATCTTATACTAAGCAAATATTAGTTATTACCTTGAAGTTTTCCTGCAATAATATATGTTTTTCTTGAAATTATGATTATGTAACGTAAATTACGTGCAATTGGCGACATAGATAAACTGTACCATAACCACACTAAACCCACCTCGATTTAAAGAACTTAAAGTACAAATTGACAACCTTCCAACCAGCTTACCAATCAGTAATTATAAGCCCTGTGGTACACAACATTTATTAAATGGCAGATTGCTAAAACGGTATTTTTCTATCTGGCGACAGACGAATTTTGCATACTCATGACTATAAATATCGTCCTAACTCTGTTGTTAGTTATCAAAACTCCATGAAATTTGGTACACTTTTCTAATGTATTATGGTCTTTTGAATTTCGGTAACACTTTCCACATTATTAGGCCTATCATGTTTTGTCATTCCTAGTTGGTGAAACATGGTCGACAGTGGTTGCACGATCATGAGCAGCAAAATAAATGTAAATTTAATTATAGACGCGCATTACCCGATCTCATTCACGGAAGGGATTTTTTTTCGAACATATGAGACCTCTGGAAGTGGTCCATGAGGGCGAGGCCCCAGAAACTGACAATAGGAGTTTCAAAGGCTAATTAGAGTCGTTACCTTGTTCGAGAACGTTGTGGTTAGGTAGAATAATACAAAGTTCAAATGTTATTTATGTATAAATACGTAGGCCTATTTATGAAAACGTTTTACAACAAATCTACCTATCAATCTAATTTGATCTACGTTATTGGTCTATGGCGTGTCAGATCCAGCCTCCTATAGGCCTATTCTGTAAGCACTTTTCCCACTACAGAAATGTATTGAATATTTAAATAGAAGTGTTTTCCCACTATTCATTACCTTGAACTGCCCTTAACCCACCAACTACGGCTATCAATTGAACTAGACCAATTACTTTATCCGGGTTTTCAGTTACCCAATTCCAAATGGCCATAGCTTTTTTCTTTATAAACAATTCCCATCCAGCTTCCCGGAGTTTTACCGCCGCTTGGCCAGATTCCCCGCCGAAAAATATCAAATACCTGTCTCTTATACACATCTAGATGTGTATAAGAGACAGGTGTTCGAATTCCCCGACGGGGGAGGGCGATTCCCCCCCCCCCCGACGAGGGGTCAGATTTCCCCGATGAAAGCAAAGTGGGCGTGGTCGAACTTCGATTAAAAGGCTTCGAAAGTGGTGCAGGGGGAAAATTGACAATTTAGGGGTCACTAAAAGCGACAATCAAAATTTCAAGTTTAAGACCATATTTTGGATAGATGACTATTCTACTTTTCCGAATTAAAAGTACAATATTCATAACATCTTATACTAAGCAAATATTAGTTATTACCTTGAAGTTTTCCTGCAATAATATATGTTTTTCTGGAAATTATGATTATGTAACTTAAATTACGTGCAATTGGCGACATAGATAAACTGTACCATAACCACACTAAACCCACCTCGATTTAAAGAGCTTAAAGTACAAATTGACAACCTTCCAACCAGCTTACAAATCAGTAATTATAAGCCCTGTGGTATAGGAAAATAGGAGTTTCAAAGGCTAATTAGAGTCGTTACCTTGTTCGAGAACGTTGTGGTTAGGTAGAATAATACAAAGTTCCCATGTTATTTATGTATAAATACGTAGGCCTATTTATGAAAACGTTTTACAACAAAACTACCTATCAATCTAATTTGATCTACGTTATTGGTCTATGGCGTGTCAGATCCAGCCTCCTATAGGCCTATTCTGTAAGCACTTTTCCCACTACAGAAATGTATTGAATATTTAAATAGAAGTGTTTTCCCACTATTCATTACCTTGAACTGCCCTTAACCCACCAACTACGGCTATCAATTGAACTAGACCAATTACTTTATCCGGGTTTTCAGTTACCCAATTCCAAATGGCCATAGCTTTTTTCTTTATAAACAATTCCCATCCAGCTTCCCGGAGTTTTACCGCCGCTTGGCCAGATTCCCCGCCGAAAAATATCAAATACTTGTTGGTTTGTGCTCCAGAGTGCATGCTGTAGCATTGATTTTTCATTAGAAATCCGATTTCAGCGTCTCGGAAAATCCGTTTTGGCTGATCACATAGCAAGTTTAGTGCTTCATCTATTAATCGTACGTCGTCACTATCAATTCCAATTTGATTCTTCAGATTATGTATATCGTTGCATGTTATCTCCCCTCCGCAGTCTATCACAATGACGTTGTCATTCGGCTGCTGAGAAGATTAAAAATGCAAATGTATAAATGAAATGTTATTCGAGATGTTATAGTTTCACACGGAAATCGCTAAAGCAACAAATGGATGGCTAAGCTCCTGTTCATAATCCTGGTAACAGACAAATACTTAACTCTTCGGCGGAGGTAATGAACGGTTAAATCCAACAGTCGAATTTTCTGCCGGAAAATTAATCTTAATTGAGCAATATCAATTGTTGGATCGAAATCGTTGGCGAGCCGGAGTGGCCCATGGGACGACGGGGTAGAATACCATGGGATTGTAGGAGACATAGGCATATTCATCATTTATTTTCGGGAAGTTGGCTCTTTTATTGGGCTCTCTATAATTAAAAAAATATACTGTGGCGTGCAAATTATGTATTATCGATCGATATTTGTATTAAGATTTACCTGCGCCATAATTTGAGTTCTGTTGAAATTCTTCGATTAGGTAATTCTCTCACGCATACACACTGTATATAAATATAGATAAAAATAACCAAATAAAGTTTGATGTTGGAATATCAAGATAATTCTGTTGTAATACCGTATCTAGAAAATCATCAAAAATTCAAATAATATAAAATATATTGTACTGAGTTCATTAAAAAGGATCAAATACTGTAGGTTTAACGAATTTAAATGAGACTAGACTCATCATGAAAACAATTCAGTGCTGCTGATTTACAGACATGTTTTTTTTTCTTTTTTAAACTAAAACGATTTATTTGATTACTAGCCAACATAGTCTTTGAAAGGAACGGTATTAATTAAGCGTCTCTTAATTAGCGAGTACCGTATATCATCTTTTGTTTAAATTTTTAATTGATAGCTATCATTAAATATACAAAGTATAAGCAATTAAAATACGGAATTTTAAAAACTTATAATGATATATACAACGATATTCTTTTAAGACCTGTTTATACTTGCAACGATAACCATAAAAAGCTAAAAAAAGCCATTGTTCATATAGAAAATAAAAGAAATAAGAGAAGTCTTTAAGCTAGGACGATTCGATAACGATTTATGGTTTATACGGTAACAACATATTTTGACAAATCAATTCAGATGACGTAATAATCTTGGAAAAACGATAAAATCGTAGTAGTAACAACAATTTTAATCATTTTAAATAATTTTTTGAGTCCTATTTCATTTGCCAATTATATTATTAGTTTAAGAAATGTGTGATATTAAATTAATTTTATATTATACAAGTATTAAGCGAATTTGTAATTCATGTTTCCCTATTGTTTTTTATAATATGTTTAAATCTTAAATTAATATTTGACTTTAAATATATTGGCTATGAATTTATTTTATATACAACACACATCGAAATAATGTATTATACTGTATATTTTATAATTGCAATAATATAAATTTGATTTTTTTGGTTTTGTTTTTCCCTATACATTTTTTGTCTACTTTTTGAATATTGAATTCAAAGAAAAAATTATTTGATATAGTTATAGTATTTTATCTATATTATATTTTAAATATCGATTCCCTCATGAATCCTGTACTTTATTTAACTTATTTATTTAGTAATTTTTAGATTTTTAGGTTGAAATATTTTTAATAATTGTTTATTGAAAACGCATGCCGATTATATACTATCATTTTATTCTATATGTTCTTAATTCAAATATTTACTTGTATAAGCTTCTTTTATGTTTTGTCTTAATTCTTGTTTATTGACGTTTTTTGAATATATATTATTTTTTTTTAGTACCGTTCATTAATTCGTGTGTCATCCAATCATTTACACTATTTCTTATATTCATTGCAATAAAGATGAATCTAATTTAATTACAATTAAAAATTCGTTCGAAACTGGTGTAACAATAGTCACAAATATACAATAAAAAATAGTGTCCTAATCTATCTTTTAAATCGAAGTTTTTTTTCTACTTTTTAATCTTTTTTGTTAAGCGAATATTGATGGTATTAAAGCACTTGGTTACATAAAAACATTGAATTGATTTACCATTTATTACTTACAATTCTCAAAAATCGTTTATGCAATTTATATGCAATTGAACATGAAAAACATTACCTTATTTTTTTCATTCTATTTACAGTTCAGAATTTTTTATTCTAAAAATTCTAAAATAATTATTCTACTCTTTCCTACATTCTAGATTTTATTTATTAATGACTGATTTCAAAGCTGCACAGAAAGTTGCAAAGTATGTCTAATCTGCTTATAAAAAAAGGAAAAAAAGTTTAAAGATGTACTATTAGTTATTAGGTCAAAAAAGAAATTTTTAATTCCACATTTGAATTGTTTAATGTGTATGTTGATGTAAGTTATTAACTTAAAATTAAACATTTTTAATTAAAACAAAATCCCCCGTCGGTTACCGGGCAGTTAAATAATAACTTTCTTGTATCCTATTGAAAAAATCCTTAAATTGGCTGGTAATCAATTTAAGGATGTTTGTATTAAAATGTATGTAACTTGTCGAAAACTACTTTTTTCGACCTGTTTCTCGTTGGAATCTAATATTTTATCTGATCCTTTCAAATGAGCTATTCAAGTTTATTTTTCATTTTGAGGTATTTTTCTGTCTTTTTGACTGATAGTACATATGACCTATTTAAGTGCGGAGAAGGAGTTTCACTTATACAATTTCCGTTCATACTTTAACATGTTTTCTTTATATATATGCCAAATATTTATAATGTACGATACAAAATATGTAAGATATTCACTTACCCCGTCCGTACCAACAACCTTTATGTGTGCTGTCAACTGGAGCTCAAGAAAAAGAACTCAAATAATTGGGTCTTATTCGAAATGATTAATATGCAAGACGTCATATAATTTAAACATTGCATAAATGATGAATACTTGATAGTGTAAAGAAGTCGCCTGAAACACCCAATGGACCTAATTTCAATACCTGGATTAACATAAGAAATAATTTCAACTACTTCCCAGGTATTAGATTTAACGGGCCGTAATTGATTGGTTGCGCACTTCGGAAATTACTTGCACCGGCCCTTGGGAAATATGTAACGTATTCAGTCAATATGATGACGAATGTTGGTGGCTGTATTTTTTTTAACGAAGGCGTTCATTTACAGAGATCTATATGATGAAGCTCTTCGGAAGCAATAACTATTTAGCTATATAATTTAAACAATATATTGAAGGTAAGTGCATATGTTATATAGGCCTATGTATATTATTATATTTATGTAATAGCCTACATATTATTATAGTTATAGTTGATTTCAAATATGCTGAATATAAGTTTCCAGTTCTGTAAAGCCATGTGGTTTACTGAAAAATGTGGCTGAAAGAAGCGCTAGTTGTTCAAACTCTTCGAGGAAGATGTTGGCAATGACTGGGGATAAAGGCGATACCATGGCCCGTGCCTTCTGTTTGTTCGAAAAACTGGTCGCGCCATTTGAAACTAGTACTGTACAGAGTAAACACTGTAAAAGTCAATCCTGAATCTGTTCAGAGTTCAGATCTGTTCTTCCCTGGAGAGTGTGATCCTCTTCTAGACGGTGTTTGGCTATTAGACAAGCCTCCTTGACCGGTACATTGGTCATAGTGATTTGATGTCGAAGCTAACAAGAGTGTCTGTAGATTCGAGATAAACATCCCGGATGGTCTTCACAAAGTGTTACATGATGACCAGTGTTGCCTACCAGTGACAGTATCCTAGCAATATACTTGGCGAGAAGGTAGGTTGGTGATCCTCGTGAAGAAACGATGGGCCGTGTTGGAATGTCCGCTTTATGAATTTTCGGTTGTCCGAATATTCTCGGGCATATGGATGGTGAAGTTCGGAGTTGATGGTACAGTGGCTTCGAGAGTGCCTCCAAATGATGTAGTTCGAGTAACTTGTTTGTAACCCTCTTTTCGGTGGCTTTAGTCGGGTATTTCTTGATCCTCCTATACGTAGGGGTGTTCAAGAGATGCATGATTTTGTCGTTGTACTGAGCGACATACATGATGAAGTTGCATTGCCCTTGTCCGCTGGTAAAATATGGATAGTAGGGTCAGCTCGGAGACTTTATTTATTATTCTCCTGAAGACGATTGAAGCAACTCAATCGAAACGTTCTTTTCAGAACTACCTACGTGGTGTACCGCAAGCTTCGACATATATGTTACTTCGCCATGCAAACCTTCAAACAATTATAATAATACTACTAAAATAATAATAACAATAAATATAATAATATAATAATTATAAAATATATAATTCGGATAAGATAAATAATAAGAATAGTTATACTAAAAAATAATATTAAACCTATAAATAATATTAATAATTATAACAATACTAAAATAATAATAATTATTATTGTCATCTGGGTAATGGGTAATAGCGATCGCTATTCATCTGGGTAATTCCGTATCATTTGGGTAGTTGTCATCTGGGCCGAGCTGTTTGGGGCCGAAGTGTCGTCTGGGGCCGAGTTGGATTTGGTCCGAATTTGTTTGGGCCGATTTGGTTTTGGGCCGAAGTGACCTGCTGCCATACAGAATATACAACAAGATTGAAATAGGCAGGTAATGCGGAATCGAGAAAGTCTGTATGTTTACCATATTTGGGACAGCTTTCACACCGCATTCAACGCATTCTAATAAATGATAATAATAATAATAATAATAATAATAATAATAATAATAATAATAATAATAATAATAATAATAATAATAATAATAATAATAATAATAATAATAATAATAATAATAATAATAAGAATAGTGTAGTTTTATATAGCGCACAAATCCATCTAATGTAAGATGCTCAGGGCGCTTGATATGAGGACTAGGAACTCGATCAATGACTTTCTTCGCTCCTAAGGGTCCCTTCGTGTCTGTGCTACTACAAGCCGATGCCAAAGTGTTTCATAGTGTACCCAACAAACTATCCCGGACTCTCCAAATACACAAGGATAAACCACCAGCACAGAGTCAACCAGGAGTTTACCGGATCCCGTGCGAATGTGGAAACGTTTACATTGGTGAACAGAAACAGGACAAGATCTCCGTACCAGGCTCAAGGAACACCAAAGCCATGCCAGGAGGGGGAACAACAAAAATATAGTCATGCACTCCCACAGTCAACAACACCGTGTACATTGGGACAAGGCCGAACTAAAAGCCACTGTACCATCGTGGCACTCCAGAACAGGGACATTCTTTATCCAAAATAATCATAATCACGAAAAAGGCATGTAAAACCAGATCACATACTAAAAACAAATTTATGCATTCTCGCCTCATCTGCAGTCACTAAGACATATTCTCATGAAGACGATTGAAGCAACTCAATCGAAACGTCGAGACTTTCTTAACTACAAAAGTTCTCTTCAGAACTACCTACGTGGTGTACCGCAAACTTCAACATATATTATTATAACTATTAATATCCTATATAGGCCTAATATTATTTTTCATTAGGCCTATTACTATTCTTATTACATATTTTTTTTATATTATCCAAATTTTTACTAGTCTCATTAATTATTTTAAAGGAATTTTAACATACCTTTATAAAATAATATATATTTGTATGAATATAAAGCTAAACAAAAAACGGTACACATATATATATACATTTAATTCAAACTGGCTACATACGTTTTTTTTTTCAATTTACGACGGAAAATCTTTAAAGTAAACGATAGGCCTACTGTTATTTTAGGCTGGCTGCCCTAGCAGGTTTTTGTTTTTTTTGGGTTTTTTTTCAATAAATGTAACACTTAAACAGGTGCATTACTGTTATTTCTGGTAAATATTTTTACCAAGAATAATACAGTACAGTATATAAAAACGAATGGCAAAATCAGATGAATAAACCCTTCGTCGTGAATCAAGGATCATATTCACCCCGTACAGCATTGCCAAAAATGTTTAAGGCACCAAAGACGATAATGATAATGACGTATTGGATTGGTTTGGATTTATTCGGTGTAAACACCAAGGATAGCCCCCGAAAGTCTAGAAGAAGACTTATTTCCAGTGTGGTCCTTCTGGTAGTGATTGGGCAGGACACCGGGAGACAGTTGCCTACTCTTTTTCGAAGAGTGTACTGCGTTCTTTAACGTGCACATGGGCCATAATGCACACGGGACCAACGGCTTAAACGTCTGATCCGAAAGACGGTGCGCTATTGTAACTTGTATTTCAGCCCTCTAGCTGAAACACAAGGAAAGGCAGCGATGGGAATTGAATCGGGGACCTAGAGATCTTCACGGACGGTTCAGCGCACACACAGTGGCTACCACCAGATTAGCCGACTGAGCTCAGCTGCTCTCGTATTCGTTATCGTTTTCGTAAGGTTGCGAAATCTCCCAAAGTTATGGTAAAGGTAATTGTAGGATATTTCTAGAGCACCTTCCACAATAAAATCGTCTTTAATAAAATTTAATTTAAACTTATATTTATTGATTTTAATGATAATAATTTCTGAGAAATATATAATATATATTTGAAATATAAGTCTTTGCATGTGTTTTCTTTTTACGAATTCACAGCAATTGTAATCTTCGATAACATGGCTGGATGGATGTTGGCTGCTATAGATTGGTTGCTTATACACATCT